TTGTATAAATATATGAATAACATATATAAAAGGCAAAATCTATTAACATATAAATAAAGTAAAAATTTTATACGAACTACTTGTCACAATTGCTGTTTTGTAACAATATTAATATGTGTTACTGTTATTGTAAGATGTACACTTGTACAGACACACAAATGATAATTTTTAACATAGAAAGAGGCAATATTTTCTTAATCGAATAACCCAGCTGTTAAATAGCACCAAATAGCACCATCTTCAGATGAAAAGTAATTTTTAATGTTACTGATTCAAGCCAAACAATTTCAAAGCATTGAAAGCAGTGGCTAAAGCAACTTCTTCCGGAGTAATTTGCATAAATGCTGCTACCATTTCCACTATTGCTGGTAAGGCACATGGTTCATTACGTTGAAAAGTACAATAACGATGAAGAAATGTCATAGATCGTTCGGTAAGAGCATCTTTAACATGTGCGGGTAGTTTACTAGCTCTAGTATTAGGATACATGAATGGAGCATCTGTTTCTATTAATATTCTTTCTAAAGGTGCAATTCCCCTTTCTAGTAATTGTCTTATTCCACTATCAGATTTATCTTTACACAAATATCCAGTAATCCCTAAATAAAAGCCGTGATCTAAATATACTTGAGCTTCCCCTGCAGTTCCAATAAAGGAGTGAATTAAAACTGGTGGTAAACAATTCTTATAATGGTTTAAAACTTCTAAAACATCTGCTTGAGCTCCTCTTTCATGTATTATTAGTGGTTTATTTAATTGACTCGCAAGTTCTACTTGTTTATGAAACACTGCACGTTGTGTTTCAGGATCAGAAAAATCACGACTATAATCTAAACCACATTCTCCTATTGCTACGCATTCAGGATTGCTAGCTATACTCTCAAGTTCTTGTAAAGTGTCTGGATTTTCCCATGATTTAGCATCATGAGGATGCACACCAGCAGTAGAATAAAGAGTACCAGGATATATTCTTGTCAATCGCAATGCTTCTTTACTAGATCGAATACTTGCACCAGTTACCATAATTTTCTGTACACCAGCATCCTTTGCTCTTTGAATTACACTATCTAAATCTCTGCTATATTTTTTATTTGTAAGGTTGGCACCAACATCAACTATGATATAATTTTCATAACACTGTGTCATAGCTGAGGAAGTAGTCTTTTCCTCTACATTTGATGAAGAAGCATTTTCAGCCATTCCTCAATCTTTAATTACAATATCTGAAATAAAATAAAAATAGCATTTGTTATGAATGCTA